GGGGCAGCGCCTGCGAAGAGCCTCGGTAAAAGTGGTGCTGAAGAGCCTGGCGCTGAAGAGGGCCGCGGTGCTGCAGGAGGTGGCCCGGGAGCTGCTGAGGAACATGTATGTGGCTGCGGGGTACGTGGTGGACGCTGCCCCGAGCCCCGTCTGCCCGGTGGTTTGCGTGGAGGTCCTCGCTCTAGATCCCCCCGCAGAGGAAGCCGGCCTCGTCACCGCCAAGACGAGCATCCACGTGAAAGAAGTAGTCACCCTAGAGCGGCATCGGCTTTCCTCACAGGCCGCCCAAAAGGTTTGCGTGGCAGGGCTGGACGACGTGAGCAGGTCACTGAAAGAAATCGTGGATTGGCCTTTGCGTTTCCCCCAGACCTTCCAGAAGCTGGGCTTTTCGGCCCCCCCTGGCGTGCTGCTGGTGGGCCCTCCCGGGGTGGGCAAGACTCTTCTGGTGAAGGCCCTTGCCAGGGAAGTGGGCGCCTGTCTGCTCTGCATCAGTGGCCCGGCTGTTTGCGGCTCCAGGCCCGGAGAAAGCGAAGAGAATTTGCGAGCAGTTTTTGAACAAGGCAGACAGATGTCACGTGAAGGGCCGACCCTTCTCTTCATCGACGAGATTGACTCTTTGTGCCCAAGACGAGGAAGTGCGAACAGTGCTCCTGAAAATCGTGTTGTCGCTCAGTTGCTAACGCTTATGGATGGCATAGGTGGGGAAAATAAGATGGTCATTATGGCAGCAACAAATAGGCCTGATGCTGTAGATCCAGCACTGAGGAGACCTGGCAGATTTGACCGAGAGGCAAGTAAAACACGTTTTCTTCACTTCTGGGCACTTGCATGATGTGCCGTGTTATCTCTGTCTCTAGTCATAGTGTTCTGTAGATCTCCATTGGGAGACTGGACTTGGTGACCTGTTCTCCCCACAGAGGATTGTGATTTGAGTATGGTAGACAACAGCTACTCCTTGGGAAAGGGAAAGTCCTGACCCATTGAAAGGTATCCTGCCAAAGATAGGAGGAGAAGAGGCCTTTTTCTGCTTTTGATAAAGATTTGGACCAGTTTCCTTTCCTATACTTAGTTTTAAGAATTTTGTAGGGGGAGAGGGGTTACAGCAGAGGGCTGCAATACAAACTTATATTACAGTCTTATTATTTTTATAAAATATAGCATGTTGTCTTTACTAGGAATTTAGGAACTCTCACCGTTACCAATCTGTGACTGAAAATAAGGGCCTATCCTTCAACTACCTAATTGCATTGTTGTGATGCAGTTTTGTTTGCTTTATTGTCTCTCCATGAACTCAATAGCTCTTTAATCCTGTGAAGGATTTAGTACATAGGTATATTGCAAGATGGTGGACCCTAAAACTTAAACAGATTTTGATTGGTCTTATTTTAACAAGTTTCCTATAATTTATGTACCTGTCTCTGTCTTCTGTACCTACAAAGCTGTTAATGCTATGGATTATTTCTGGGGAGCATCTACTTTTAGTTCGGTGACACTCAACCTTCAGTGAATGGTACAGTCCCAGTCTGTAGACTAAATCCTGCAGGCAGTGAGACCCTGCACACCCTCATGATCCATCACAGAGGTCTATGTCATTCAGCTCTGGAAACTATGGCGACTAATGCTGCCACTGCTCTCATGCCACCAAATTCCTGGACCCATGGGGAGCCCTGTGAGCTGGATGACACAGCCTCACGGGCCAGAGGCTGAGTACTACAACTTTAGTTTATTCTACTTATTAAAAATGTAGTTAGCCCAGTTTCATAGGAGGTGAAGTATTCATTTTTTCTTGATTACTTTTTTTTTTCTTTTCTCTGACTTGAATCCTGCATTGTGCGCTGTTGTTTTTTACAGTGTAATCACCAGCTTGTGTTTTTCAGTTGTGTAGAAATTATTATTTTGCTACTTATTTTAATTTTTAGATGATCTTCAAAGTGTGGCTTTTTAGATGGTGGATGGCTTTGTTTTATAAATGAGCTATTAACTGAAATAGTACTCACCTGGAAAATAATTATAAATTGTCTGTATTTAAATTTATCACTTGTATAATGCTTTTGATATTCAAAGTACTGGATAAGCTATTAATTAGTCCATGTGAAACAGTAAACATTCCCCACAATTTACACTGCCGGAGTGTGAGAGACACAGGGTAGTGACTTGTCTAAAGATCGAGAAAGAAAAATATAGGAACTCCTGGGAATATTTGTTTACTGTATTTGTTTTAGGTTATCATTGGGACGCCAACACTTAAGCAGAGAAGGTCTATCCTACAGTTGATTACTTCTAACATGCCTGTCTCTACTGATGTTGATTTGCTTAACCTGGCAGAAATAACGACTGGATATGTTGGAGCTGACCTTACAGCACTCTGCAGAGAGGCTGCCATGCAGGCTGTCTTCCGCTGCTCTCAGATGGTATGGACTCAAGATACTTTCTGAATCAGAAAAAACTCACATTTGGGACTTCCCCCCACTAATGCCCTCTAGTCTAAATGCTCAGGAAACCTAATATCTCAGGGATGAGAATATTCAAAATTAGGGGTGCACTGATAGATTTTGGGGCAATGCCGATGGCTGATTTTTAAGGAGGCATATCAGCCGATACGATCCTATTTCCAATACACCTGCATGCAACTGGTAAGTCGGGGGGGGCAGATAAATGCCCCCCACGGTGAGGGAGGAGTGGGGCTGGGGTAGGCACATGTCTGTCCATGTGTGTCCCATCCCTCCCCCATCGTCCTACCAGACGAGTGGCGGGAGCAGTGGCAGGTGCCACCGTAGGAGCCATACTCCCAGGCCATCCGATATCAGACCAATGTATTGGTGCATCTCTCTTCAAAATAAACTGGAAAATATCTTACAGATGTGAATATACAGCTTTGCCACAGTCTTTTAGTAAGACGTTCAGTAAGAGACTGGTATGTCCTTCTTGAGTGAAAAGGTGTTGTGAAATGTCTTTATTCTATCCATAATTTAATTAACACTGTGCAAAGCAGAGATTAAGTTTTTGGTCGACAAAAAATAAATGCTAGTAAGCTTTTCCACCAAAAATCTCTTTATAACAAACAAGTTACATAATATTTTGCTTTTAATAAGACTGTGTAGCTGTGCGCCATGGTTTATATTGTGTGGCTGGACGTAATATGCATGTACAGGCCAGAACCATGCAGCTACAATTGCCCATGGTCCAATAATATGATTTTTGGGATGTTTTAGAGTTGGATCTCAGGGAAGCATAAACTTTCTTATCTGTCCTGACTGCTAGGAGAAAGCAGGTTTGCATTGCCTCCTTGTCCATGAAGTTGGAACGTAGTGACAGAAGAGAAGTCAAGATATGCTTCCCTGAGACTTGCATCCAGAACACTGTAACAACAATGGGAAGTGCTGCTTTCCCTG